TGGGAGCATCCAACCAGGCTCACTCCCGAGCCACTGCTCTGTGTATCTGTGCATTTACTATATCTGGACTCCCACAGTACAAAGAACACAGAAATGCAATTATTTTAGTAAATATAAACTGCTAAATACCTTTTCTCATCAGCAGCTAGAGCTGTCTTGTGACTTCTATCAGTGTCCAGCAGAGCACTGGTTAAAGCTTGTAGGAGGAGTTTTAATTATTGCTCTAGGACAGTGGTCGGCAAGCCGCGGCTCGCGAGCCACATGTGGCTCTTTACAAATGCTAATGCGGCTCTTCTGTGTGCCGGGCGCCCGCTCCCCTCCCTCCTCTCGGGCGGCCACCCCAAAAGTCAGGACCTTTTAATCGGCCCGCGGATGTGGCTGTCAGGATGTGTGTAGGCGGGGCAGCGTGACGAGCGTGAGGGGAGCTAGGCTCCTCTCACAGTCCGCCCTGAAGACTGGAACGGGGCGGGAAAACGGCGAGAGGAACGCGCGGAGCAAAGGTAAGTGAATTGACACAGGGGGGACTTGGGGATGAATTAATGGGGGATGAATTACTATATGGGGATGAATTACTATGGGGGATGAATTACTATAGGGGATGAATTACTATGGGGGATGAATTACTATAGGGGGATGAATTACTATAGGGGGGATGAATTACTATATGGGGGATGAATTACTATGGGGGATGAATTACTATGGGGGATTAATTACTATATGGGGGATGAATTACTATATGGGGGATGAATTACTATAGGGGGGATGAATACTATATGATGAATTACTATAGGGGGGATGAATTACTATATGGGGATGAATTACTATAGGGGGGATGAATTACTATTACTATATGGGGGATGTATGTATGGGGGATTAATTACTATATGGGGGATGAATTACTATATGGGGATGAATTACTATGGGGGATGAATTACTATATGGGGGATGAATTACTATGGGGGATGAATTACTATGGGGGATGAATTACTATGGGGGATGAATTACTATGGGGGATGAATTACTATGGGGGATGAATTACTATATGGAGGATGAATTACTATGGGGGATGAATTTACTATGGGGGATGAATTACTATATGGGGGATGAATTACTATGGGGGATGAATTACTATGGGGGATGAATTACTATATGGGGGATGACTTACTATATGGGGGATAATTACTATGGGGGATGAATTACTATATGGGGGATGAATTACTATATGGGGGATAAATTACTATGGGGGATGAATTACTATGGGGGGATGAATTGCTATGGGGGATGAATTACTATATGGGGGATGAATTACTATATGGGGGATGAATTACTATGGGGGATGAATTACTATATGGGGGATGAATTACTCTATGGGGGATGAATTACTCTATGGGGGATGAATTACTCTATGGGGGATGAATTACTATGGGGGATGAATTACTATATGGGGGATGATGGGGGATGAATTACTATAAAAACTTATTGAAACTAAAAACAGTGTACCATCCTATGTATTTTCAGTTTTAAAAATGTGGCTCTCAAAATAAATTTCAATTGTGGTTTTGGCGAGATTTGGCTCAGTTGAAAAAAAAGGTTGCCCACCACTGCTCTAGGAGGATGCAGAGGCCCTGACCTCTGTCTGGACAGTGCTGATTGACCATGGGCACAGACAAACAGCTATTTCCTCAGAATAACAAAAGGTAGGAATCTCCAACAAAGTTTGTTAAAATCCCTGCAAGGTACATAAATCAGCCAGAGGGGAAGGTTTTTTTCTTCACAAAAGTGGAGTTACTCTTTAAAGTGTATGTAAACCCTAATAAGGAACTTTTGTTATTTTTTTTCTCTTTTGGACCGCTAAATATACATTTGAAAGGGTTTTATTATATCTGTTTGATACATGCAAAAAATACCCGTTCAAATCCTCATGCACACTGAACATATTTACAGCTGCTGTTTTTGGCTTTTGATGTTCTTTGGTGTTTTTTTTTCTACAGCTTGTAAACTTCCCAGCATGTTATCTTATGTGTCCATGCACACATAGACTGTAATCAACATTTTTTGGCTGGAAAAAAAACTGAGGACTATTGGGTTTCTAGAGGAGTTTTTTTTATCTGTAAAAGGCTCTAACGCTACAAAACAAGGGAAAACGCGGTAAATCGCGATAAACCTCTGCAAACCGGCGTTTTTGAACTTCTTTTACCCCCCCCCTCAATTTATTTTTGCTTAAAAACCGAAAATGCGGAAAAACCTGGGAAAATGCTGCTATACGCGGCAAAGCGCCGCTAAACGCTAATGCAAAAATGCTAAAAAAAAGCTGCAAAACACGCGTTTTTAACGTGACTTTACACAGCTAACGTTACCAGCGTTATCAAAACACCCCGTGTGCATGGAGCCTTTTTTTGCCAGAAATCTTGCAAGCCGTAACGTCCTGCGCTCTCTGCCGTGCATGAGGATGTGTTGTGAAGATTAGGAGGGGGAGAAGTAGAGAGGTCTGTGTTCTTTGTAGTGCATCAGAAATAAAGTAGGCAGGGCTGACATCAAATGCTTTGGAATTCAGAGCCAAAAATACTACGTTGTTATGTCAAAGAGGAAGGTAGGGACATGCTATATTCTTGACACATCAACAGTTATTTTTCTGAATTGAAACTTGTTCAAAGGGATAGAAGATGGGCAAATGTGCATGTACTGCAGAAATGTATACTTTTTTTTTTCGTTTTGCCTTGACATAAGCTTTAAGAGGAAAGATGGATATGCAGGCACATTTCCAAGAATACACCTCTATGTCAATACAGATGGGAAAAGTAACTAGATGGTGATCTTCTGCCCTGTCTAGTGGTTTACTTTGAGTAAGCCCTAGTTCAAACTGATGTGGTGCGGAATGTGCAGCGTTTTCTGTGCGAATTCCATGCCACATCAGAATCAAACCCTGTTCATGCGAACTGCTGCAGGTGTGTATGTTAAGTTAACAGCACCCCAAAAGCGGCTGCAAAATGCGATGCGATGTGCAGAATCGGATTACATAGGTGTGAATACTCATGTGATCTGATTCAAGTGTGGACCCAAAAAAGGGTCCTGCACCTTTCTGGTGGGGGTGCGATGCAATTAGAGCCATAAAAAATGTATGGCTCCAATCGCACCACACACAAATCGCATGGGATTTGCACAGGAATGCGGTTCCTGTGCGAATCACATGCGATATACCGTACCGCATATATGTGAACCCGGGCTTAAACTGACCATACGTGGATTGAAATTTGGCCGTTCAGCAGGAACCGGCCAAGATTCAATTCATGTATGGGCAGGCTGATTGTACCCAAGCTAATCCATCAATCAACTTGGGAACAACCAGTCTGTTGGATTTCAGTATTCATTGTGTTTTGCTCCCCGTACCCCCCCCCCCCCCCACCTGCAGAACACAATAGTGATGCAGAGGGATTCCCCCATTGATAATGACTGTGTTGATGGGGGAATCAAGACATTTTCTTTCCTTTAACCCTTTAACCCATCGTGGAAGGAAAGGAAAATGGAAAGAAAATCGAATTATCTATAGGCTGTCTTAGGCAAGCCATAGATGATGCGATTTTCTTTCCTGCAACCATGGCTTGCAGGGAAAAAAAAGCTTGGTTCCCCCGCAACACAGATAGTGTTAATGGGGAATACCTCTGCATCACTGTTGTGTTCTGCCAGTGGGGAGCCTTCCCTACCGGATAAACGCAATGGTCAATGCTGGTGGCAATAGCCATTGGCAGTAATCACATACATAAAATCCAACAGGCTGCTTTTACTGAAGTTGATCAGGGGACTAATTTAGGAAACAACAGTATCTCAGCTAGTCCCTGCTGAACCAGTTGAGATTTGATTAATCTATGGCCAGTTTAAGTTCACCTTTCTACAAAAAAATAATAAATGCAAATGCACATTTTTTTGCAGGTAAAAAATAATGTATTATTTTTTGTGTTATGAGTCTGTAAAGCATTGCACCAGCAATCAGAAAATTGCTGGTGCCATGCAGGTCTCCTACACACTGTCAGTGTATCTGCTTGCTTGTTGACAGGAAGATTCAATGAACTACCACTGCACTGTGGTAGTTCATTGAGGACTACAAGCTGACAGCCGCTAAGAATGTTGGGACTTGTAGTGCATTCATTCACAGAACACTGTGAATAAATGACATGGGGGGGGGGGGGAGTAGCAGGTGGTGGCTGCAGGATTGGGAACATGTTGCATGTGGAACGTGGAACACTAAAAGTGGGTGGAACATGAAATTATTTCCTAATCAAACTTAGTGTGTAACTCCACTTTTGCTGAGAAGAAAAAACATTCCCTTTTAGGTGATCTATGTACATTGCAAGGATTTTAACAAACTTTGTTGCAGATTCCTACCTGTTGTTATTCTGAAGAAACAGCTATTTGTCTGTGTTCATGTGCAGAGTGAATTTGTATGGAAGTCGTTTTACAATTATCAATAAGCTGCTGCATCTCCAGAGCTCTAATAAGGAAAATGGCAGGGTCTGCATCACTTTAGATGTGATTTCCCTTTCAGAGTATCTCACCAAAAATGCCATTTTTATTGCAGAGGATGCCAAAAATCTGACTTGTATGTTAGTACAGACTTCTGGGAAAATCAGTGAGCCAATCAAACAAGTAGGAAATAAAATTTTTAGGGGGTGTTCTGTACACCATCTGTGTACAGAACGCCTCCAGGTAGCAATATTGCTTTGTATTTTACAGAAAATTACAGTGCTGCAGATTGAAAAGGAAAAGTAATTTTGAATAATATTCAAATACAATATGCCTTGAGTTGCAGTTATACATGCTATATTATTTTTTTTTGGATTTGCTATTTTTTCCCCCACAAAAATGGAGTTACCCTTTAACCACCTTTCGCCCGCCCTATAGTACAATGACGGGCGCAAGGTGGTTCTCTCGTTCTGATAGGACGTCATATGACATCCTACCATTCTCACTGCGCATGCGCGGCTCAGGGAGTGCGCAGCGCGGCGATCGCCGGTCCGCTGTGTCCCTCGGACACAGCGGATCACAGAAAGAGCCAAAGATGTCGGCTCGGTCATGTGATCAGCTGTGTCCAATCACAGCTGATCACATGTAAACACGGAAATGTCGGTTATCGGCATTTCTCTCCTCTCGAGCTGTCACTCTGACAGCTCGAGAGGAGAGGTGAGCCGGTAATCGGCTTTCCGCGGAGGGGACATGTACACTGATCATCAGGGCACTGATGATCAGTGTGCCCGGATGATCAGTGTGGCCCCAGAAGTGCCACCTGTCAGTGCTCATCAGTGCCAGTGCCCATTAGTGCCACGTGCCAGTGCCACATCAATGCCACATATTAGTGCATACCAGTGCACATCAATGCCACATATCAGTGCCCATCTGAGCTGCCTTTCAATGTCACCCATCAGTGCCAGTCAGTGCCACCTATCAATGCCAATCAGTGCCACCTATCAGTGCTGCCAATCAGTGCCGCCTATCAGTGCCAGTCAGTGCCGCCTATCAGTGCCAGTCAGTGCCGCCCAACAGTGCCAGTCAGTGCTGCCTGACAGTGCCAGTCAGTGCCGCCTATCAGTGCCATATATCAGTTTCATGTATCAGTGCTGCCTTTGAGTGCCCATCAGTGATGCCTGTCAATGCCCATCAGTGCAACCTACCATTGCCTCCTCATCAGTGCCCATCAGTGTCACCTATCAGTGTCCATCAGTGCAGCCTATCAGTGCCCATCACTGCAGCCTCATTAGTGCACATCAGTGAAGTTTTTGTATAACAAAAACTAAGAAAAAACTTTTTTTTTTTCACAATTTTCAGTGATTTTTGGTTTGTTTAAGAAAAAAAAAAATCCCAGAGGTGATTAAATACCACCAAAAGAAAGCTCTATCTGTCTCAAAAAAATGATAAAAACGTCATATGGGTACAATGTTGCATGACCGCGCAATTATCATTCAAAGTGTGACAGTGCTGAAAGCTGGAAATTGGCCTGGGCAGGAAGGGGGTATAAGTGCCCTGTAGGCTAGTGGTTAAAGGGCCTATTTTGTAAACATAAGCAAAGTTGTTTTTTTTCTGTTTCCTAAACTGCGCTCTACTATGTTTATAAAATTCACCATTTAGAAATATTTTCATTCTAGAAAGTTGTGATGTTAAATGAAGGAAAATAATGATTAAAAGTTGAAAGATAAACTGGCAAAACACGGAAATAATTATGCCAACTGTCAACTGCATCTTGGTTGTAATGTGTCGATCCCATAGCTGAATGGAGAATGTCAGAACCAGAAAGTGAGAAAGTGGAAGAAGGAGCATCCCTCACAAGTAAAAAGCATTTCAGGTGAGGGAAGACTGTGTAAAGAGCAGAATCCTCCAAAAGTAAAGAATATTGTAGGTGGGGGAAGATGGTGAAAGGAGAAGATTCCTCCAGCAGTATTGTGCAGTGTCTCTCAACATTTTTCCAGTCAAGGCACCCTTTAAATTAAAGTGTTACTAAACCCAAAACAGTGAAATCAATATGTATATGCAGTAAAGCATGCTTGTTATACTCACTGTGGAACCTAAGGGGTGCCGGGCAGTGAGCACAGGGCCCACTAGGGGACATCGGGCTCACAGGCCATCCTCATGAAGTCTGTTTCTGATTGTTTGGTCAGAGACATTCACACCAGTGGCCTGCTGGAGATCATTTTGTAGGGCTCTGACAGTGCGCATCCTGTTCCTCCTTGCACAAAGCAGCAGATACCAGTCCTGCTGATGGGTTAAGGACCTTCTACAGCCCTGATCAGCTCTCCTAGAGTAACTCCCTGTCTCCTGGAATCTCCTCCATGCTCTTGAGACTGTGCTGGGAGACACAGTAAACCTTCTGGCAATGGCATGTATTTATGTGCCATCCTGGAGGAGTTTGGACTGCCTGTGCAACCTCTGTAGGGTCCAGGTATCGCCTCATGCTACCAGTAGTGACACTGACCCTAGCCAAATGCAATACTAGTGAATAATAGTCAGAAAAGATTAGAAGGGGAACAAATGTCAGTGGCCTCCACCTGTAAAACCATTCCTGTTTTGGGTGCCATCTCATTGTTGCCCACCTAGTGCACCTGTTGTTAATTTCATTAACACCAAAGCAGCTGAAACTAACAACCCCCCCTCTGCTACTTATCTGACCAGATCAATATCCCAGGAGTTTAATTGACTTGATGCTATACTCCTGATTAAAAAGGTTCCTTTAATTTTTTTTTGAGCAGTGTGTGTGTACATATATATATATATTATATATATATATATATATATAGTGATGAGAGTGCAACTGATTTTGCATCTTTCTCCAGGTTTTGGTAGTCCTGGATGGAGCTCCCTAGTTTGGAGATTCCATAGTGCCTTGGGAGGGATGGAATCTCCAACCCAGTGTCCGGGTTTTGTGGAGGAACCCAAGAGAGACAGAAGGTCTCCTACATGAGTCAGAGAGGCTGCAGGTGGCAGCCGGAGTATAAATGTCTGCAAGTGATAGTTAACAGCAGGGGCGGACTGAGCCTACGAAAAAGGTACCAACGGCATCACATGGGGCCCCCTTTGGATCCAGGGCCCTCGGTTAGTGCCCAAGTTTCCAAATGGTCAGTCCGCCCCTGGTTAACGGCCTGAGGACTTGGCCAGAGGAGCTGTGTGAGTCCTAGAAGCTTGGGGCTGTATGCATTAAGGAGCTCTAAGCTGTGTGCCTGGAAGAGCTGGTGGTCAGAAGGACCAGTATCTATAGCCGCAGTGCTGCTGAAGAGTAGCCAAGTGGGCTAGTATTTTCATTTGGACTGTGTGTATTTTACTGGAGAAGAACTGCTGCGTCGGAAACCTTATGTTGGACTTTTGCCTTTTCTTGTTAATAAAAGTGGGCTACCAAGCCCTGAAATATAGTTCCTGACTGGCGTGAACTCACTTGAAAATACATCTACCACAGAGCTAAACATCCCCAATCAGTATTACTGCAGCACTCACTGATATTTAAACACAAAATTTCAAAATAAACATAAAATACAAAAATGTGTTGCACTGTCATTCAAAGATAATAAACGTGTGTATCAACATCCTAAATTGTAATCAACATATGAATGTGCAACAGTATCAAAGTCCAATATAAATTAAATTATCAAAGTCCACAGTGAGTTAAAAATTATCTTCACACCAACTACCTTATGGTCATGCAACAGTTTACCAAACATTCAGACCCCAGAGCAAAGGAGATCCTACAGCACTTTTTAATGACAGATCCTGAGTGGATGGATGACCATCACTTTCACTTCCTCACTGCTGACTCTGATTTGAATCTCTATCACTTCAGCAGCATGCCAGAAGCAATCACTAGATGTGCCTCACATGAATGCCACAACATCATAAAATATATCAGGGAGATAGCTAGGAAATCCAATCGTGTAATTTGTTCAAACACCATTTGTTATAAAAACTCAGTGAGTACTCACAAACAATAAAGTCAGGAGCATATCACAAGCGCCTGCCGGCTCTCCAGAAGGACATGATGACGTCACCACTAGGCTCTGCCGTACGCATTTAGTCCAAGGGGGCGTCTTCCAAGGGGCAACTGATTCCATCCATCAAGAGCATCTCAGTTAGAGGAAATACTGCAAGAACACAAATCATTACTCTAAAATAGATATTTAATTGTTGACAGATACTGGAACGTTAGACCACCTAATGGTTTCTTATGTCCCTCAGGGACTCTGTTGGTCCCTGTGTTTGTTTTTTGTTTATTTTTGTTTTCTTGTTATTATCTTTTTTTTGTTCTGAATTGCAAAATCCCAAACACAGTCTAAATCAATACAATACAAATACATTTTCCAAAACATATTTTTCCAAATTTCCCACCCCCCATTCCCTTCCCCCCTCCCCCAAAAAATTTACCTCCCTGACTCCTCTCCTGGTCACCTTTTCCCGTTTTCTTCTTGCTCCTTCATTACTTCCTTTATTCCCCATCTCCCCTTCTTTCCTTCTCTCTATCCTTTCCTTCATTTTACTCGGTCCCTCTTTCTTCTCTTCATTTAGACTACTACCAGGTTTGCATATCTTTTTGAGATTTTAAACTCCCTCCACCTTTCCCATATCGGTTTACATTTTTCCATTTTTTCCTCTCCTATATGGTATAGTTCCTCTATCCTATATACAGTTAGGTCCATATATATTTGGACACAGGCACAATTTTAGATTTTTCAAGTATTTACCAAAACATATTCAAGCTATAGTTCTATATTGGATATTGGCTGAAAGTGCACACTCTGAGGTTTAATTTGAGGGTATGTCTATCCAAATTGGAGGAAGGGTTTAGGAATTACAGCTCTTAAGAATAGCCATCCCCCTTTTTCAAGGGACCAAAAGTAATTGGACAATTCAATCAAAAGCTGTTTCATGGCCAGGTGTGGGTTACTCCTTCGTCATTTCTTCATCAATTAAGCAGGTAAAAGATCTGGAGTTAATTCTAAGTATGGTATTTGTATTTGGAATCTATTACTGTGAACCTACATCATGCATTCGAAGGAGCAAGTGAAACAGGCCATTGTAAGGCTTCAAAAACTAACCAAATCCATCAGAGAGATAGCAGCAACATTAAGAGTGGCCAAATCAACAGTTTGGTACATTCTGAGGAAAGAAGAATGCACTGGTGAGCTCAGCAACATAAAAAGGCATGGATGTCCACAGGAGACAACAGTGGTGGATGATCGCAGGATCCTCTCTATGGTAAAGAAAAAACCCATTTACAACATCCAGACAAGTAAAGGACACTCTCCAGGAGGTCTGCGTATCATTGTCAAAGTCTATAATCAAGAGAAGACTTTGCAAGAGCAAATACAGAGGGTTCACCACAAGGTGCAAACCATTCATAAGCCTGAAGAATAGAAAAGCCAGATCAGACTTTGCCAAAAAACATCTAAAAAGCCAGACCAGTTCTGGAAAAGCATTCTTTGGACGGATGAAACCACAAACAAAGAACAACTGAAGACAGCTGCAGTTAGAGCCTGGCAAAGCATCAGAAAGGAGGAAACCCAGTCTTTGGTAATGTCCATGGGTTCCAGACTTCAAGGCAGTCATTGCCAGTAAAGGATTCTCAACAAAATATTAAATATGAACATTTTATTTATGATTATATTTCAAATGTCCAATTACTTTTGGTCCCTTGAAAAAAGGAGGGATGGGCAAATCTTAAGAGCTGTAATTCCTAAACCCCTCCTCCAATTTGGATGTACATACCCTCAAATTATACCTGAGAGTGTGTACTTTCAGCCCATATCCAGTATATAAGTATAGCTTGAATATGTTTTGGTAAATACCTGAAAAAATCTAAGATTGTGCCTGAGTCCAACTATTTATGGACCTAACTGTATATGCTCGACCCTATATAACCAGTCTTTTATTTTTGGTATCTCCTGTTTCTGCCAAAATCTAGGGATCAATCCTTTTTCCACAATTTATTAGATGAAATACCATCATATCCATTATAGATGAAATACCATCGTAATGGAATAAACATACCCAAGGGTCTTTCAAAATACTCATTCCTGAGACCTCATATATTATCTGAATTATTTCCTGCCAAAACTCCTGTATTCTGGGGCATTCCCCACCATATATGTGCCATTGTTCCTTTTATCCCACACCCTCTCCAACATAATTGTGATTTCTCTACTTGTTGCCTATGTGCCACATTAGGAGTGATTATACCAGCTCACCAAACATTTATAGTTAATTTCTTTTGTAGTCATATCTATGGCACCATGTGCTAATTTAAATATTTTCTTTTTTTGCTGTTCATTCAGTTGTGTTCTCAGCTCCTCTTCCCACTTCTCCAAACACTG